AAAAAAAAAATCATTGCTGTTAAATCAGAACTGACTCAGAGCTGACCCTCTAGCAGGTTTTCAGAGGCAGTAAATCACATGGAAGGAGACTGCTCATCTTTCTCCACTACGTGCCTGATATTTGAACTACCTGAGAGATACTGCCTTCGGGTTAGCAGTGCAACGCCCTGTGGACTAAACTTCCAGAGCTCCTCCAGTTCAAGTGGGACAGAAGAATCAATGCCTTTGACTTGTGGTGTTGGAGAAGAGAGTTGAAGATCCCATGGACTGCCAAGAGAACAAAGAGCTCTGTCTTGGAGAAAGTGCAACCAGGGTGCTCCTTGAAGGCAAGGATGGTGAAACTGTCTCAGACAATGTGGGGATGTTATTAGAAGACAATCCTTGTAGAAGGACATTATGCTTGGAAAGGTGGAGGGAGGATCAGCATAAGAGAAGACCCTCAACAAGACAGATTGACATCGTGACTGTAAAAATGGGCTCAAGTATGTCAGAGATGGTGAGGATGGCACAGGAAGAGGTAAAGCTCAGAGGTGTTGTCCAAAGTAACCCTATGAGTCGTAGTACAACAGCAACAATGGGCTACATAGGTAGAAAGAAGTTGTCTATTTCTGAGACATTTTCCTAGTATTCGTTTGCAAATATTGTTGCCAATGGAATCCTAGCTCCCGGACATGGCAAAACCCCAGGAAGAAATAGGTTAAGGGGATCTTCAGCCTTTCTAAACATTTCTTTGCCCAAGACTCTTACAGAAGTATCATGGGGGTTTAACATTTGGAAGTAGTTAGGCCAATAGGGACCTGCTGTCACAACGCCTCCACGATTGGCAGAAATGTCTGAGTGACACTAGACACTGTTGAGTGGTTTATGGACTGGTTATTACTGTATCAGAGGTTCTGATGGACCTCTGTGAGACCTGCCTCTTTAAACTAAACTAGTTATTCTCTGGTACTGTTTCACCTCTCCGGAGAAAAGCAAGAACCCTTGAAATGACTGAGGTTGGATTTCTCTTTAGCCCAGAGAATGTGAAAAAAGCCAAAATGAATTTGAGCTACAGGAAAAGAAGAAATGCAATTTTCTAGCATACTTAAATTTATGGTCTGAGAATAGTCCTACTGCTCCTCATTCTGATAATCTAAAGAAGTCAAAGCAAAATATACCTTTGATTTTTGGCCAGTTAAAAAGAATGGTATGTAGACATAAAGTCTATCATGAAGCCACTTCTTTCTGACTTTTCTTTGATGATTTGTACAAACAAGAGCAAGCTAATTTTTTTCTCCTAGTCTCCCTTCCTCTTATTATAAGTTAAAAATCATGTATAACCATTTTGCAAAACAACCTAGCAAGATTACATACACACTCAGCACATGACCCAGCAGTCATCCAACTCCACCCAAATGTTTCCCTAAGAAAAAAAAAGAAAAACATTTCCACACAAAGGCATGTAATGGAATATTCATCATGGCTTTATTCATAACAGATAAAAACTGGCAACAACTCTATTTGGTAAATGGAAATTAAATTTCGTATGATTATACACTGGAATATTACTTATAGCAAATTAAGTAAATAATTTATTGATACATGCAACCACATTCTAAGTAAACCACATACTAAGGAGCTAGGTACAGAAAAGCCTGTTATATTATTTTTTATTATTATTATTATTTTGTGTAATCAAGTGGCGAACAACTCATAGCTGACCCTCCAGTAGGTTTTCAGAGGCTGTAAATCACATGGTTCTCCCACGAAACAGCTGGTGGATTCGAACGGCATGCTCTTTGGGTTGGCAGTGCAGCTCCTTAGCAGTAGGCCTCCAGAGCTCCCTATGATTCTACTTGCGTGAAAGGCCTGGGAAAACCAAATTATTCTGACAGTATGGCAGGTGTGGCAGAGCAGGGGCATGGCAAAAGTTGCCTGCAAAGGCAGGAGGAGGAAACTTTCTGCAGATCTGGAAATGTTCTATGACTGAGAAGGACGACACAGTGACTCTAACAATGGGCTAGAGGGTGTTCTAGATTATGAGGATGGTGCAGGATAGGGCAAGGTTCAAATCTGTTGTTGACTCAACCACAGCAATAAGGGCATTTAACAAAAAAACCTGGATTCAGAGCTCTGGCGGTGTAATTCTTAGAGATGCTAATCCAAACGCCTGTACCTCTGTTGGTTTCAATTCACCAATGACTCTGCAAGAGGAAGATGGTTAATCTCCTCCCATGCAATCAGTCTCTGAAAATCCCTAGGGGGCCAGCAATGAATGAGAATGAAAGAGTTTGGATTAAGGAGGCCTGATAGCACCTCTGCTAAGCCTCCAATTGCTAATCAAAAGGTCAGCTGTGCAGGACAGAGATGAAACAGCTTGCTTCCATAACTGTTCACACCCTCACAGGGCCCGTGGGCCAGGTCTACTATGTCCTGTAGGGTTGCTATGGGCAGGAACGGACTCAACAGCAACAGGTTTTTGGTTATGTTTGGATTATCCTTGGTTGGTGCAAATGGTCAATGTGCTCAGATGACTAACAAGAGGTTAAAAGTTGGAGTCCACTCAAAAGTGCCTAAAATCAAAGTTCTCCTGCTTACTTTTCAAAAAAAATCGAAAACCAGGGAGCTCTGGTGGCCACTTAACATTGTAAGAAGCTGCATGCAATACTGAAAGCACGCAACTCGAATCCACCCACTGCTCTGCCCATAGGAAGGTCAGCTATAAGTCAGTTTTGACTTGCTGGTACACAACAACAACCACCACCTAAAAAATAAAAAACCTTGTGAAGCAGAATTCTACTCTAATACATGTGAAATCACCAACAATTCAATACCAACTGATTAGTGGACGATCATCTCTCTACGACTCGAGCACAACTTCATGTTAACTAACGCTAACATGTTAACATGCTAACAAGAACTCTTGGATTTTCAGGAACTTACTAAACATAAAATTTCCTCAGAAGATAAGGAGAAATATCCTACACATTGCATAGTATTATTATTTTCATGTTAATCCACTAGGTGGACCACTAGAAAAATATTATGTCAATTGTAACATTTTGCCTCTAAGTTACCACTTGACAACCAATTTTGACTCAAAGGTTTGAGATTATGCCATCAATATTATTCCACAGTCAGAAAGGTGGGCAATTTCCTCCCATGTGTTTTACTACCTCTGAAAACCAGAGGGAGGGTCAGCTTTGAGTCACGTCCAACTTGACGGTACATAACAAACAAAAACATTCTGTGACTATATCCCATTTCATACAGGGAATGGATGGTCAGTAACCATGAGCGTGGGCATGTGAGTTACAGATGGTGTTCCAAAGGTACCATAGGCTTAACTGGTGTTATTCACCACGGAGTCAGAACCAACTCAAAGCTGACCTTCTACTGGGTTTTCAGAGAGAGTAAGTCACAGGGGAGAAGACTGCCCATCTTTTGGCCACAGAACAGCTAGTGGATTTGAACCACATGCCCTTAGGTTAGCAGCGCAATTCTTTACCCATTTGGCCACCAGAGCTCCCTTAGCCTTATCTGTAAGAGTCAACATTTTAGGACGTTATAATATATAAATTACCAAAAAGAATTAAATAACCATTAGTGTGAAGTAAATCATCTAGTGAAATAAAGAAAGCAAAATATTAAAGCAGAATAGTATAAGGCAAAATTGTTTATTAAAAGAGAATTCTGACCAGTACTAAATACATCAATTACAATGACAATACATCAATTACAATGACAATTTCAGCATACTGGTTATATTGACACAATTAGTACATGCACAAACACATCTTTTTTTTTTATGTTTATTGCTTTCTTCTTTTATGACTATGGTATCTTTCTCCATCCCTGAAATGAAAAGGATTAAAAAAACTATTGTAATTATGGATATTTTAACATCAAAGCCTTAAAATAACAGTAACAATTTCATAAGACATAAGACAAGTCAAGTTGTGTATTTAGAATATAAGTATTTTGTGTACATGGTAAATATATATTATAAATATGTAACAAATCATTTGCCTTTTTAGCATTCTTTGCCTGTACAGTTGAGTGGTATTAGTTGTTTATCATGTCATTCAGTCATTACCATTATCCATTTCCAAATTTCCCCATTATCCTTTTAAGCACAGTGCTCCCTAAGCACTGAGTCCCCTTTTCCCCTCTTCCCACCTGAGAACAACTATAAGTGGCCCTGGGGAAGACAGACAGATCTGAGAGACAATTATTTCAACAAAGTATGCACATACAATAAGTAAGATGTGGATACTGCCCATTATCTTGTGTAAAAAATAGTAACTTCTAAGTAAAAGCACAAGTTGATGTCAGGCAAGGAATGTCAAGTGGAAAATGTAATAAACTTGGCTGGAAAAAGTGAGAGAAGGCTTCACCGAAATGAATGAACTGGATCTTGAAAGGATCATCAGGAACTTACCAAGTGGTATATTGGGGGAAAAAAAAAAGGCCAACAAAAACAAACCAACCAAAAAAAGCCAGTCTAGACAACAAGACTGTGAGCAATTCAGGCCACCTAGGATATGTTAGAGATTTCACAAGGTAAGGGGGCAGGGGGAACCAAACCACAAAGGTTAGACAGGTAGGCAGGAAACCTGACCCTGAAGAGTCTTGAGAACCATTCAAAACAATCTGAATGGTACCACTGAAAAGTTTTAGGAAGTGAGATTCCCTCTGGTGGTAGATTAGGGATGGATCATGTACAAAAAACTTAAAAAACAAGTAGGGCAAATGGGAAATTCATTAATATTTTCCAATTGTACAGAATAGAGACTAAGAAAAGGAGGTACTTATGAGGTATTTTCAGGAAAACTGTACAACATCTAGGAATTTACTATATGGTATGGGATAAGAAAGCAGTATCTAAAATAATTCCTCGCCTTTTGACTGAGGTGAATTAATGTCACCCCTTGGTCAAACCCTCCAATCAGGACTGAAAGGTTGGCAAAGAGGACTAAATTTAGAAAATGGCAGTAAGTCTAATCACACACTTCTTCAATTTGAGATGTAAGAAAGTATGTTCAAGAAGCACCTGGAAATCTAAGACTAGACCTTCACTGGCTAAAATTTATCATTTAAGTATTAGTTCATCATATCTCATCAGCTATCAAGCTTTTGGCAGGGATATTAATAAGGACAAATCTGACTAGTAATAAAGTTTGAATTTTCTCTCTGACCCTATATACCTTTTAACTGAGGAACCAACAAAAGGAAGAAGAGAAAAATGAGAATAAGAGGAAAGATAGAAGGAACAGAAGAACCCAAGGCAAAAATCTTTTATATAATTAACTCTCAACCTGAACTTGACTTTCAAGTATCCTGGTTAGAATGAAAAAACAAACAAACCACACCAAAAACCAAAACCCTACAATGTAACCAATATCAAACACACATAGAGGACTATGACATTAGAGCTATGGTTACTTCAACTGAACTACGAAGAAAATGAAAAATCTTCATCACCAATTATTTATTCTACATAACTTATATCTGCAATCTATTTTCTCAGCGTGGTTTACAACAAAAGGATCTATTCTGTTTCTCATAAGACTTCAATACTGGCTGATGTAGTGCTAGACTTACCTCTCTTTCCTTCTTCTAGAGTCCAAGCTTCTATCCTTATCTTTATTTTTCTTTCGTTTATGTGGGCTCCGACTCCGATCTCTTCTATGTCGTGAGCATTCAGCATCCATATAGCTTCCACGAGACTGCCATGAATCTACTGAAGCTGATCGCCTATCTTCCCTTCTGAACACAGAAAGCAGCATTAGTCAGTTTGAACCATTGGTTTGTAGTATTTACACCCATACGAGCAGACACACCTAAAGCTCACTACTGACCACCCTATCCATGATAATCAGGGAAGCAGATGCTGACTCGTGTTTTCTTGTGTGCCACAGCAGAACTATGATCCACCTTGGGTTTCAATGACTCATTTTCTTAGAAGTAGATTGCGAGGCTTTTCTTCTGAGGTGGCTCTGTGTGGACTTAAACCTCCAACCTTACTGTTAGTAGCCATGCAAATTAATGGCTCCAAGCTCTTAGCAATGAACTACAGCCCAACAGTCATACATTCCAAAAAAGAGCATAATCAAAACGACACAGCTGTTATATTTTGCTCTTTCATTAACTATTTCAATAATATGACTAGCTGTCCCCAAACTATCAAAGGGCAATGTCATAAAACAGCTCTAGTATAATAATCCTAAGCAATTACAACAATAAACATTTTGATGACTTATAGAACCAAACCCACTGCCACTGAATCACTTCCAATTCGCAGCAACCCACAGGACAGAACAGAACCGCCTGACGGGATTTCCAAGGCACTAAATCACTACAAAAGCAGACTGCCTCACTCTTCCCCACAAAACAGAATGATGGGTTCAAGTGTGTAACTGGTGTGCCAGCAGAGTTCCCTTCTGATGGATTATAGTGTGTTATTAATAAAGTTTGATGCAATTACAGAAGTCGTTTGAAAAAAGACTCAATTATCTGGAGATGGAAGCCTTGGTCAAATTTCTTAGTTATTTACATAACTTTCAAGTATAGAGGCCCAGGCTACATTTTAGAACAAATCATAGGCTAAGATATGTGTTTGGGGTTTTTTTCAGTCATTAGAAAATAGTTTCATTATGTACAAGGCAATCATGAAATTGATTACATAAAACAAGGATACATTCCCAGGATTAAAAAAGGTAGTAACAGCAATCTCGACTTAACACCCATTCTCCAAGGAAATGCCAGTCACTAAACACACAAATAAGTCACAAACTGTCAGAACAGAATGTAATAAATCAACACCTCCTTTCGGGCAGAAAAAGAAAGAAAACCAACAAATATCTGGGCTTTGGAATGGCTCTTCCTCTGTGCAACAGGAATGATGCCTGTTCTGAGGCCAACCCTGAGGATGATAGAGGGTCAGGCCTTCCCCTGGCCCAGCGGCCACCAGGTCCACAGCCCCGAGGATGGAAGTGAAAGCCAGGAGTGTCTGAGTCATGGGCCATCCCCATATCCCGGGCCCAGCAGCCACTATGCCCTCAGCCTTGAGTATGGTGGGGAAAGCCAGGGTGTCACTGAGTCATGGGCTGTCTCCACACCCTCACCCGACGGCCACCAAGCCCACAGTTGAGCAGGTCCGTGTCTTTGGCCATCTTTTGCTTCTTCATCTCCGCATTGGTCTTTGGTCCTTTTTTGGAGGACTTAGGGGGAAAACCCTTATCAGACAGCAAGTCTTCAAAGTAATTTTCTGAAACTTTTGGCTTTTGAGCAAACTTGGGTGCAAAGATGCCCCTTTCCTCTCAGCCCCAGATCATGCTGAAGTTCATGGTGAAGTTGGGCAGTGCCACCAAGGGGACTCAGGCAGGGCTGCCTCAGTCTAGGGCACTGGAGAGGCTTTCATTGGAGCTGAACTGGTCTGTAGTGCTGGGGAGGCTTTGATGGGGGGGGTTGGCTTGATCTGGGGAGACTATGCTGGGGGCTCACTTGGTCTGGGTTCTGGGGAGGCTTTGTGGTACTGACAGAGGGGACACATGGGGATGTGGCAGGGACAGGCTTTAGTGAGAGCTGGCTTGGTCTGGAGAGACATGGACATTCCTTTAGGTAAATAATGCCTCATTACATTATTCCACCTATTACAAGCATATTACGTATGCTTACATATTTCTGTAATAAAAATTGACCCAAAAAATAGTAAAGAAAACCATCAGCAACATTTAAAAGTTACAGAGGAAGAGGTTTTTTTTGTTTGTTTTGTTTTACCACCCTTGGGAGGTGGGCTCTCTAGGCATCAAAGTCACCAGGAGGACATGCGCTGGTGGTTAAGCTGCAAGCCTGAGTTCAAGTCATCTAGATCACAAAAGGGGTCCAGGCTCTGGGACTTAGCCTTGCTGGTTGAGAGGCTGTACCAGGCTGCTGACTAACCTCCAAATGAGAAGGGACTTTTGCAGCAGACTTGGGGGCTGGTGTGGATGCTGCAGCCTCAGTCCAAGTGTCCTACCCTCTGAAAGGGAGGTCACCATCCTGATGGACTCTCTCATGTACAGGAAGCCTGTGCTGGAAGATAGAGGCAGGGCATGGTGGGTGGAGGAGAAGGCTATGGGCTGTATGATCAAGGGCTCAGGATAAAGAAATCAGGGTTGAAGCAGGTCTGAGTGTCTGGGTCAGGAGTCACCAGGAAAGGGTCAAGGGTGTCAGCAGCTCCTGAGTGGGAGGGCCTCATAGTGGGCCCTTGGTGCTCCCCAAATGGACCAGGGCTACTAAAGAATAGCTCACTCTCTCCGCTCAGCATGTCTCCTGTGGGGCCAAGGCAAAGCTGAAGGGGTATGTCAAACTGGAGCTGTGCATGCATGTGAGGTTTGACAGTGTATCATTACCCTGTATCATTATGTATCATTACTCTGACTGCAGTTGCGGTGCTCACAGCTTGATGGTCCCTGTCACTAAGCAGCAGTGTTCAACTCTGAGGTCTCTAAGAATGAGAGGTGGCTTCTGCATGTGCACGTGCTGTTTCACTCTGCAGGTCTAATAAAATATCTTCCAAACTGTATCATACAAGAGAGGTTGGTCCTCTGGACTTAATTTTCTTTACAAAATCAATTAGGAGTAGCCCTCTGCAGAGCTCTGTCAGCAGCAGGAACTCAGCCTGCCTCCTCTTCCCCTAGAGAGGCCACAGAACAAAACTCGACCATGTTGGAGTGGTCCAAGAGGTTTTTCATGAGGCTGACTTCTTGAATGGTGGCTGTACTCCAGTCCTCAATGGACAGCAGCCTCTAGAGTTTCATATACAAAGGAAAACCTTTCAGGAGCCAGGACTCAGCACACTCAGAGCCTCAGTTTTCCTAGTTCTACAGTTTAACTCACCAAGTCCTTCTGGTTGTGGCCAGCAGCATGGACCTATGAGCCCAGACTCCCTAAGCCCCCATGAAATCCAGCACAGACCTCAGAACAACATTACCACTGCAACGACCATTGTGCAAACTGGAGGAGCCCCACTGCCTGGACTCCAGCTCCAGCTCTGAGTCTGGTGAGCAACCACCAGCTCCAATGGTTCCAAGTTCCACCAGCTTTTGCCCCCACACTGTGAGAGGAGTTCAAGGGAGAATAATGACTTCTGACTACAAGAAATTTCAGCCAAAATAATATTAACAACTAATTATTAGAAATTTAGAGGCAGTTGAGATATGTCATCAATAAACTTAGTCTTAAATTTAAAAAAACACAAAAAATTATTATTAATGAGAAATTTTTAAAATAATATTTTCATAAAAAAGACAAAAGACCTACTTTACGGCACCATCCTCTGATTTTTCCTGCTCTTCTTGCCACTGATTACTAAGTTCTTCCATGTGTACATTTATCACATCCCGAATCACCTTAGGAGGGAAACACACAGGACTTCAGGTAAGAAAGATTGTTAAAAAAATTAAGTGTAAAGCTATTTCAAACACTGTTTACAACCAGTTAAATATTAACTAAGAGTTTTGACACAGCAGACTATGGAATGTATGGAGAAGAAAACAATATGAAGAACTAATTGGAAAATGTTGAATTAAAATGTAGGAACAATGTAGAGGTGACTGAAGTTATAGCGATACTGTGATTCTGTAAAAAAAATATTTCTATTCTTATGAAACATATCAAGTATTTATAGTAAGCTACTTAGAGTAATTCCTGAAGAAAAATCCATGTACAGACAAGAGAATGAAAGTATTAAAAAACTCCACAACTGATAAGCAAATGGAGTAAAATGTCAACAGAAAGGCATCCAGGAAAAGATTACACAGGTGTTCTCTATATTATTTATAGATCTGCATCTTACCAATATATTTGAAATTATTTACAAATAAAAACTTTGAAGTTGTCTTTTTTTAAAAAAACAAAACCAATTAATTAGGCCAAAGAGATGACAAAATGTAAAATACAACAGTCACTCCAGAGATATTTCCCCAATCAGCCAGTAAAATCCTTTCCTGAAAGAATTGTTAGAGACCTTTTCTCTTCCATTTATCTATACTACAAACAGATTTATTCTGAAGAAGGTGAAACCAGTTTGCTCCTTGGACTCAAGGATTTTGAAGCTCCATCTCACATACTTTGGGCATGTTATTATGAAGCAGTCCTTGGAGAAGGACATTGTGAAGGGTAAAGAGTCGGCACAGAAGAGGAAAACCCGGAAAAAGACAGTGGCTGTGGTAGTGGGATCAGGTGTATTAGAGATGGTAAGGCGGGTTCAGAGCTATTGTTCAGAGGGTCACTACAAGTTATAAAACAGACATAGAAAGAGGGACATTTCTATCTCAACAAAGCATTAAAAGATGATATAAACCTACCTCAGTGTATGATTTCTTGGTTATGTGCACATTCTTAGCTCTGTAAGACTGGCGTCGTCTTTTATAATCTCTCACTTCTGCCAGAATTTCAAGGTAAGATTTGGGGCATTTTTGACTATTATCTAGTAAAAGAAACATAGTTATTATATCCTTATAAGCTTTTTCATCTCTTTAAATTAGCAGGTAGCAATACCACAAAACCATCCTATGTATTTCAAAGTAGCACAAAAATCGTTCTAAAAATTTTATATTACACAAATATGTTAGTGTTGTACCATTACTTTTCTTTGGTTAGAATACAATTAACAAAAACCCTTTGCCACCGAGTTAAATCCAACTTACAGGACCCCTCTACAGGGAAACCTAAAAGGTTTCCAAAGCTTTCCAGAAACAGAAGGTTCCATCTTTCTCCTAAGGATGGTGGGTGCTGACCTTCTGGCTAGCCAGAATTTGAATATAACAGTATTTAGGTGCATAGATTAAAGCAGCCACATATAATTTAAATAAGATTCTTACAAAAAAGAATACTTAATGTAAAAGGCTCAGATCAAAATTTTCTGCACTAAGCAAAATAAGCATGTTAATACAGACATAATTATTGCAGGATGCAAAAACATACTATTCCAATTTGTTTTCAAAATGAGTTGACAAATCATCTTTATAACTCTCAGAATGGAAAGATAGTTGGGAAATATAAAGCTATGATGTTTGTTTCAAACCTTGATTAACTTTAGCAGCCAAGTCTACAAAAAGATCACTGTCATTTTCAATGATTTGAGAACTGGAGCGCTTTTTCGTTGTTTCACCAACTACAAAGTCATAGATGGCAAGGCGATCAGCTTGAGTTAGGTCACAAACAAATCGTTTGTGATTCAAAGGCACTTCAGCAGGCAATGCAGAATAAATATCTAAAGTAAAAATAAAACCACAAACATAAGCAATACATGAAGCACTGTGAACTCAAAATCCACTATTTCTAAACATTATCTCGATGTAATGCAACATTAATACAAATGATTTTTCATAATACTTTCTAAATATACAAAATAATCAATCCACGAGAAAAAGGAAAAGTGCTAACTTGTCTTGAAGGTTATATAATCACAGACAGGATGCACTATAGATGTCTGCTACTCTCCACAACATAATGTTAAAGAGGTCACAAAAGAGCAGACATAATAACTGTAAGAAGAATGTGCTAAAAAAACCCCACCACCTTTCTGGAGGGCAATTTTTAAGAAAACTATCTACATACCAAATATAGGTACTACATTGTTGTTGTTAAGTGCCGTCAAGTCGCAGGCAACTCACAATGACCCTATGTAGGAAAGTCCTGGACACCTCCTGTATAACTTTTATCCTTTCTCCAGGTTCATAGGGTTTCCAGAGGCAAGCTATTGTGGAAGTGGATGCCACTCCTGCTTCCAAGCTTGTTTTAACTGGGTAGCTTCACCAAAGACTGTCCACCATGGGTAACTGTATTCAGCTTGACAGCAATCGCGAGTTACCTCTGTACAGCAAGTGGACATACCAGGGTTATATGACCTAGAAGAATGTTTCACCAAAATCTGTTTAAAAACTTTTCCCTATAAAAGCTGGAAAAAAAATGTTCTACGTAGTTACAAGACATTAAAGTCTCTCCCAAAATGAATTGTGGAAATCTGAAAAATGTGCTTTTAAAAAAATCCAGAATTAAGGTTACATAGTGGAGTGCATTTGGGGCAGGCGGGGACGGGAGGATTGTAATACCAATGAAGAAGTTTATCTTTTGCTTTTCAAAGAGAGGAACAAACTGGGGGTGGGGGGGTAGAGAAAAAAGTGCAACAATGAATGAATGAAAATCTAAAATCTCTATAATGTTCATTAAAATTAATAAAATAAAATTTTTTAAAAATACAAACACCTTGATTCAGAATTTTAGCTTTCAGAAATGTCAATAAACTTCTGTTCTTTGAAGACAGACAGACACACACACACACATGTGGGCAACTTCTAAGTAAGAAGCATCAAGATTGATTTTCAATATTCATATTTTCCCTTGTGCACTGACTTAGAGCTAAAAGCCAGAAATAATTAAGCAGCAGAGATCCCAAATCTTCCTTAGACCAGAGAAACACATATTGAAACAAAATTATTTTTCATTTACTGAGGAAGAAGCAAAAAGATTAACTAATTGGGGGTGGGGTGGGGAAGTTAAGGAGTGCTTCCCCTACCCACTTGGCACTTAACAAAACTTTCTAAAATTTGCTCATTAATTAAAAAAGTATATACAATACCTGGATATGACGTATTAAAAATACTGAAGAATTTTTATTTATTTGAGATTCAAATATTCTCAAAGAAAAAACCTACTTTAACTGTAAATAAAACAATTTAACGTGATTCTCTTCAGACTTCATTATTCACTAAATGCACATAACAACATGAGCTCTTAGAGGAATCCTATTAATATTTACTAGGTTATCCACAAATAATAACATGTACATAGAACAGGCATTCCCAAATACTTATTATTTGGTAAAGTCTAACCTTAGTAATATTCTAAGCAAAAATGGAAAAATACAAAACTCAAGTATGAACGGAGCACTACATCTCCTTTGGTTATCATTTCAGAGACCCACTATGCTGAGTCTGAGCTTCCAATATGGCAGCTATGGAGTATATTATACAGCCATCAGTACTTGTTAAGCTTTTTAAATTAGTGGAAAGGGGGACATCCTCTCAGTTCTCTAGTAATCAATTTCACCCTAATTCAGGTATGCACTAGGAAAAGTCCTTAAAAGAGACAGATTTTTAAATATTCATATAATATTAAAGTGAGATTGCTACAATAAACCTAAGACTTCTTTAAGTTATAAAAAGCAAGGGGAAGAAAACATTAGAAAACAATGAAATATTACATAAATGTTTGCCTATTCATCTTTAATCAATGATAATTTATTCCTTAACAAAATTCGGCATTTTCTTTAAATCCTCCACTTTAAACGTCCTTGATCATAAAGACTAATACTTAAAAATCAACCAAAATTCCAGTCAAGCCTATAACACTGTGAAAGCTGTTAGTTAAAGTTTAGAAAGTTGAGTAGTACTTTTAAAAGGATATCAATTACAAAAAGGATACTGCATACTCTTTAAATAAGGAGTACATTCAGGTTCCTAATTCCTCTTTATACTCACCCCAATTACTGAAAAAGAAAAAGCAGGAGAAAAAACTACATTCAGATCATTCCAAAAACAGGTTTGGATAAACACATTTAGTTTGTATTTATAAAAATAATGTAAATGTCCAAAATACATGTTTCTATATGATATAGAGATTCAAGTGAATTCTACAATCAAAGTCATTCGGGAACATTTTCTCAATTCTCCTTTTTTAAGTAATTCCAGTTCTCATTCTTCCCTGGTAGCTGCTTGACATAAGAGAGTATCTTAACATATGCACATAATATTAGTATGAGATATTACTTCAAATTTACAAAGTCAGCATTTCAAAGCTAGAAGAAATCATACAGGATCAATTTTCTAACATGAGCAATAAAAGAAATTAAAGGCCTAGAGAAGTAAAATTACTTGCCAATGTGTCTAGTGTCTGTCTTTAGGGTTCTTTTAAACACACTTGATCCTTCAATTCATCTTCATGACTGACATACACATCATGAAAATGAAGTATAGGAATTTAAATCTTTAATACCAACAGACTTAAAATCTTAAGTTATAAAATCAACCAAAACAGTAAATGAACTGAGAATTCTGTATACTGCATTTATACTTTACATGACTGGTAAGACGAGGAAATACAATCTAATTTTTAAAATCTGACATTTTTGCAGATAACAAACATTAATTGAATGAGATCTCCAATATCCCCAAACTCCCCACTAGTCATTCTTCCTTCAAAGTAAATACACCAACAATAAATATGTCTATTAAAGAAGTTAATGTTCTAGGTAAGAGTTTAAAAATGTCTAGACTATAAGTGGGTCAAAAATACAAACTTTTTAGAAATTACTGTGCTGTACAAAGGATTAGGAAAATAAAAAGATATAGAAAAAGTGTTATAAAAATGGTTATTCTAAACACTAAAATCTTATTGTGCTGCTGTTGTTAGGTGCCATCGAATTGAGTATGACCTATAGTGACCCTATGAACAAAAGATCTGAACCTTGTTCTATCCTGAGTCATCCTCACACCTCCTGACACACAAGAGCCCATTACAGCAGTCACCTGGTTAAGGGTCTTCTAATTTGTCAAGATAGTATAAATACACAAAATCCAAATTTATCTTAACTATTCAAATATATAAAGTAATTCTTTGCTTTTGCAAAGAACTGAACTCAAAGCTCAAACAAACCTCGTTAAATAGTGGACATTTTTCTAAATTATATATATAAAATTCTTACCTATTCATCATTAATATTGCTTTCTATACACTAATTTACACTTAAGCAATAACATCTACCAAATATACTGAGCTAGGATTAGTTTAGCATTCATTATTTCTCTTCATCTACTTTTATATTATCAGGAAACTCAGAAGGTATTTGTACAAGGACATTTCATTCATGTGTTTAAAACAGGCTGAATCAAAGTAGAATAAATAATGAATTGCAAGTATACTAGCAGTCAACAGGAATAGATTTGAAGTTTACAATGTTCTTCTATTTAAATGGACAGATGTAATAAATAATAAATACATTTGAGTAATATCTAGAGTATTGATCCACAGATTTCACTAATGTTGAAAGTTCTTAAAGTAGGCAGAATAACTCAACTCCGGGTTTGTGCCAAAATTTAGAACCTAGCTCAAAATTCAACTGTGCTGTTATCTAGTAGAGGAATGTTGCTAAGTTGTGGGTATTCGTTTCTTTACTTAACATGGAAAGGAAGAAAATACGTCTCTGATTTGTAATTCTGCTTTAAAACAGAAAGGAAATACATAAAGGAGATTTAAAAAAAATTTAAAAATAAAAGTACTGAGGACCTTAGGAAGAAAATATACTAGAACTTTATATATTACTGACAAACAGGTATTATTTTCTTCTCTGTAAATTTCAAGGTCTAGATAAGATTATCCATAAGTTTCTTTTCAATTAAAAACAAAATCACTGAATCTAGTACTGAAAAAGCAAAGTCACAGAACTACTAACCTCTCAAAAAATAAATGAATAAAATATCTCTCCTTTTTTGTCTATTGTCTACTGGGCCTAACAAAAGGACTGATAGATCAAGGTCAACGGTCTTTTCAAATAAGAGTATCAAATTGTTTAAAACTGAGTATCTTCCTAAGGCAAAACCTAAAATTTAGGTAATGCACAAAAATGGAAAATTCAAAACAGGAAATACAAGCAGTTCTGGTTAATATAACAAGCCAACATAATCTAGACGGAAAAGGTAAATGAGGGAGGGAAATGGTAGTATATCTAGAGAAAGCAACTTTTAGAGGGTTCAAGGAGGATGGCCCGTGGATTTTTTGACAAGGCATTCAGTCATGCAGCTGAGAGATGTTATACTTTAGTACAGAAATCTAAACTCTACTAGCTCATTCACTTCTATCCTTTTGATGGATAAGGTTTCTTTTGGTTTCCTAAATACACATGCTAAAAAATCCTAATCTAGTCTCGCTTAAGACCTGGACGGAAATTCTAAACCCACTTCCAAAGCTGGATAATGAAAACAGCCAGAAATTCTCTCAAATTATATGTAAGACAGGATCTCCAGTAAACATCAGATACTCAAAGTCCAAGATCTAGAAATACAGAAACTCACTCCCTTATGAGATAATATGCTGAGGGCACCAGTATGTACTGATCTCAGTGAGTCTAAGCCTTTCCAAGCACATACTTTTCAACTTTCTCAATAGAAGGAAAATCTCAGGAAAAAGTCTTATTCACAGATTTATTTACCAAATAAACAGTCTTATCCAATGGGGTTTATTTACCAAATGAACTTTCTATTATTTCCATGACAATTTCACCTACTATGTAACTTCAAATCATGAATCCCTCACTAGAAGATGTCCTAGTGAGACTCTGGTTTATTTAAACTGGAAATATCTATCAAATGAAGGTAAAGCGAAGCAGACTAAGGTAATGTTAAATGTAAAAGCTATCCTTTCTCACATAATTTTTTACACAAGATTTGCCTTGAAGAAAATAAGTAACTAGTGCTTGAGTTTCTTCCTAGAAATTCTAGCTGGATTCAGAAGAGTAATAAGAAGAGGAATAAAGAATAAGAAGAGGAATAAAGACTATTATTGCTGTTCTCAGATGAATCTTGACTGAAAGCAGAGAATACCAGAAAGATGTTTACATGTGTTTTGAGTTTGCAAAGGCATTTGACCATGTGGATCATAAAAAATTAAGGGTAACACTGAGAAGAATGTGAATCCTAGAATACTTAATTGTGCTCATGTGAAACTCAAACATATATAAGCTAAGAAGCAAATGTCCAAACAGAAGAAGGAAATACCTCATGATTTAAACTCAAGAAAAGTGTGTGTCAGGGTTGTATCCTTTCTCCATACCTATTTCATCTGCATGCTGAGCAAATCATTCGATGATTAAGTTGGACCGCTTAAAGAAGACTGTAGTATCAGGACTGGAGGAAACTCATTAACAACCTGCCTTATATACATGACACATTACTTGGAAAGTTAAGAGGACTTGAAGTAACTGCTGCAGATAATCAAAGGCTACAGCCTTCAATATGTATTATATCTCAACATAAAAAAAAAAAATTCACCTTTAGAACAATAGGCAATACTGCTGTGACAGCTGGAGAAAAGACTGATGTTGTCCATGATTTCACCTTACTTAGATCCACAACCAACACTCAAGGTTACAGCATTCAAGAAACGAAAAGATATGTTGAATTGGAAAAACTGGGTGTCAAGGACCTCTTCAAAATGTGACAGAGCAATGCTGCCAGTTTAAAGATAAAGGTGCAACTAGTCCAAGACATGGTATTTTCATTTGATGCTTCTGAATCTGAAAGTTGGACAACAAGTAAGAATGACAGAAGTCAAAAGGATGCCTCTGAACTGTGGTGTTGGAAAATACTCAAGGAACTGCCAAAAAAACAAATATGTCTGTCTTAAAGAACGTGCAACCAGGGTGCTCTTTCGATGCAAGAATAGTGAAATGGTCTCATATACTTTGGGCACGTTGTCAGGAGCAGCAAGACCTTGAAAAAAGATGTCATGCTGGGTGGGAAAGGTGCAGGATCAGAGAAAGTGAGGAAGACTCAAGAGACAGACTGACAGTCACTGCAGCAATGGGCTTGAGCATATCAGAGTTCTGAGAATGGCTCAGGATAGAGCACATCACAGGGTGGCTATGAGTCATAGTTAACTCAATGGTACTTAACAACAACAGTGTGAGGAAAAAGTAATTTGGGTCATCATTTAGCTCACAGCATGATCTCACTTACTTTGATTAGAAGATTCACCATCTTTTCCATCTGCAGTTCTAGCTTGTTTAATTATCTGTAATTGTAAGTCTTTATCTAGGGGGAAAAAAAGCACAAATATGAATCATCAGTGCTTACAATTATTAGTATCTTGATTGTTTCCCAAGTCAAGTTCTTTGGACATACATTTGGGGTAAATGTTCTAAAATTTTAAGGCCAAAAAACCACTCAGATATCTCCCAACCTACTGTGAATGCAAAACTCTTTCAGATCTAAGCATACTGGAGTAAACAACCCAGAGTTCAAGCAGTTCAGAAAACAGTATTCATTTGACAGGAAGCAGCAGCTTCTGCTACAAACACAAATGACCAGCAGTGGTCACTATTTCTTGAATCTAAACTAAGTGTCAAGGTCTATGCTAAGTATATTACAAATATATATGTCAATCCTTATAAAAATACCATTATCATCCTCCCCATTTTACAACAAAATTTAGGCAACAAAACAGATTCATCAACTTGCTGAAAGTCACATATCTGTTAGTGACTATCAAAGATCCAACTGTGTCCAACTAGAGTGTCAACTTGTCTGTGTGTCACTACCAGATACAAAGGCTATTTCAGAAGTAACAACAACTCATCACCACTGACTCATAGCTGAACGTCCAGCAGGTTTTCAGAGGCTATAAATCACAGGAGAGAAGACTGCCCATTTTTCTCCTGCAGAGCAGCTGGTGGATTTGAACTGCATGCCTCTGGATTGGCAGTGCAAATCTAGGCCACCTGGCTAAGTCTCAATTCTCAAGGTTGTATAATTGTCCTCTGCTTCTGTGATACGGTATAATTCTAACCTTTATGCTGTTAATGATGCAGGATACAATCTACAGGATATGGTTATATTATCAATGTATCCTTTTTTAAAATATAAATGAGAAGGGAACTACAGGGAAGTAAAAACTATTAAATAAATAAGTTGGGTGACGAGAAAGGCAAAACACACACACACCCACCCAAAAAAACCCAAAACAAAAGAAAAGCCTTATGTACCAATGCAGTGGTTAACATGTACTTCTTTCAAGTGAGAAATCAGAAAATTTGAACCCAACTTTTTGCTTTATGCCATGAGGCAGCCAGTAGTAACAGGGAAGTATTTTGAAGAAGGATTTTCTCTAACACATAGGCACAAGGCCTCAGCACAATAACCCAGTCTAGCCCAAGCCTAGAGTCAGAAATTACAGCACAGAATCCTGTGGCAGACACTGTACCTAGAACTATGATTCTTCCCTTCAACTTAACTATCAGAATACCAAATTTTCCAAGTATCAGTTGGCAATATCATCAGGAAACACAGACCCAGCCTCAGAGAACAAATCATAATTGAGCTAAGCTTTGCTAGTAATTAGTTTAAGGATAAAAATGTGACTCAAACAAAGTCTATTAATTATAATGTAAAGAATTCTCTGAGTTACATGATAGATTTTCCTCCCTGCTAAAAGGCAGACACGTAAAAAAGGAAAGCCTGATAAGAATATTATCAAATGACAAATGATGGTTGGGATAGTAGCAATAGTGTCATGACTATTAGAAAAAATCCCAGAGAACTACAGACTAGCTGACCAAGAACCCAAACAGCTCCCAACTTTCTGGAACCCTCTACCTCTTAACATGAGACACTGAACTACCTTTAAGTCATATAAGCCTTCTAACTAATACAAACCACAGACTTTCTAAGGTAGTCTTTCATAAACAAACAAAAAAATAGAAACAGCACCAGTAAGAAAGTATCTTAGTGCCAAGAAAGAATAGCATGGCCTTTGAACCCAGGTCTCCAGCACTGAAACATGCGGGCATCTCAAAAGGATGTCAGGATGCTGAATGGTGATAGGTACCACCATCCAGGGCTGACAGATAAAGCATACCCCTAAAAATGGCACCCTAGATTCAGGCTGCTAGCCTTCTAAACTATGTGGAAAGAAATGTCTATTTAAGTCATTTGCTTGTGCTACTTCTGTTACAGGAGCACTAGAAAACTGAGACTTAAAAAATCAGGAGGTAATCACTGCAGCCAGTTGCTTAAGCCTCTTCATTTAATCTCCATGTACACTGAATACCTTAAACACACTGCCATGCTGGGTCCTAATTTCAAACTGTGTTGTGTGCCCAGATTTTTGTTATGACCAAAAGCACCATTTGTCCCTACTGCATGAAGTTTTACAGAATTTTACTGCCTATTAATAAATATTTCTCTAAATTTCCAATAAAGAAAACTAGTTTTCTTGTATTTCCTTCCTAATCTCTTGCTTATAAAGTTCATTCCCTTGATAATTCAGAAATCAAACATGAATACTGTTTTAAGATATTTTTAAGTTATAATCTAATGATTATATACAGTAATGTACTTACTCAGAGTAACTGAAGGTATGTTCACATTCTTATAAAAAAATTCAGGATTATACATTTCATCCTAAACAATAAAAAAAAAAGACTATTTAAAATTTGACATACTAATAGCAGAGTCTACCTTCATTGCTGTTGAGTCAGAACTGACCCTCTGGCAGGTTTTCAGAAGCTGTAAATCACACAGGTGGAGACTGCTCATCTTCCTTCCTTAAAGCATCTGGTGGATTTAAACTGCCTGCTTTTAGGTTAGCAGTGAAATTCCTCACCATTAGGCTACCAGAGCTCTCTTAAAGCAGTTGTTGTGTACCATCAAGTCAGAGCTGACCCATAGCTAACCCTCCAACAGGTTTTCAGGGGCAGTAATTATATGGATTGGAAGAAGGAGTGGCATCCACTTCCTAAACAACAGGCCTCTGGAAACTCTATGAACTTTGACATCAATAGTTGTAGAGGGGCTTTAGGCCTTTTCTGCATAGGGTCAGTCACTATGAGTCATGCTCAACTTGAAGGCAATCAACAACAAACTGCATGCAAGACGACCACTCATCTTTTCCAGCAGAACAGTGGTAGATTCAAACTGCATATGTTTGTGCTGGCAGCGATTACTATTGCTTAAACATTCCTTGGAATAATTAAGCAAGTACCATCCCATCCTACAAATGCTGTTGTTGTTAAATGCCGTCAAGACATAGATGACTCATAGAAACTCTATGAATGAAGAATACTTGTATAACTTTGGTCGTTTCTCCATGTTCATAGAGTTTCCAGAGGCAAGCCATTTCGGAAGTGGATACCACTCTTCCTTCCAAGCTTGTCTTAATCTAGAAACTCCACCACTGTCCACCATGGGTAACCATTATCATATTTGGCACATCAGTGTCACCGTGTTTAGCACCACAGCAACCATGAGTTACCTCTGTACAGCAAGGCATAGATCAGGGCTATACCACTTAGAAGAATGTTTGACAAAAAACAATTTAAACAAGGCCTACAAATGAGGGCTTTTAAGTCAGAAAACTTTATACCTTATAAATAGTGTGACTATTAATGCACAAGTTACACAAGATAAGCACAATGTAGTAAACACACAGTACCTCTTCTTCTTTGGTATAGTCCAGTTTCCTCAATCTACATGATACCATGTGCTTTGCTAAAGATGATTTAGGCATATGATGACTGGAATCATAAGGGCAGATTACAACTTCATCCTATGAAAAGCAAATGGAAACAAACAAAAAAGGTAAACATTTGAAGAATGTATTATATCACTAAAGTATTCACTATCTGATTCACTGATGCTATCTAGTTATCTCCTCTTCAGTCTGCATCTCCTAGCCCCATGCACATATTTGGAAAAAAGAAAAAATCTCAGATCTCCTTTAAGCCTATGCCTTTTCTGCACATGCTCCCTTCAAAGTGTCTTTGAATCTTGTTCACATTATCAAAAATTTCACCTACTATCACCATAATGTCACTGAAACCAGTGTTAGTAGCTCACAAGAACTAGCTCTAATAAATCAAAGGACACACCACGGTCCTTACAATATTTGAAAAGACAAAGTCATAACCCAATTGTCCATTTCTGTCATCTTGAGACACTGTTCTTGTTCTTTATTCTGACTGGTCTCCTTTAAAGAGCTGTCTACCTTCCTTTAATGGTCCTTTAAAATTTTTGTGTTTAGACACATAGGTTTAACCATGTTATATGATGACACTCAAAATCTAAATTTTCAGACTGTTTCTTTCTTAAATAAGTTATGTTAAAAACAGTGCAAAGTCTACATGATCAGAAATAAATTCATTATTTCATGGCCTCTTGCCCCCAAAATGTGTGTTACCACTGCAGTGAAAAGTACCATTTGCTCAAGCAAGAAATTTCTCTTCTCCTTCATTAACCATACCAAGCCAATCACCTAGGTCTGCAGTTTGTACTTCTAAATATGCCTGAAATCCCACTCCATACTCCATGACCACTGCCAGGTCTTCAATTCAGGATATCAGCATCCCTCTCCTGGATTCTAGCAGGATCTTCCAGTGTTCTTATTCTAGTCTTAACTGCCCTCCACTCTATTCCCAAGGCAGATACTTTGAATCCCAGGTGCGCTGCTTATTGGCTGCATACACATGAGCAAGTTATTCAACCTCTCTTTGCCTCTACTTCTTCATCTATAAAATGGGAGTAACAGCAAAGGTACTGAGGCATTGTGGTACAGAAAAAAAAACAGGAAAAAAAAATTATACATGCATTTATATACACAAAATAATCAAAACTTACTAGCACATAGTAAGCAGTCAATAAGCCTAAGTAATTATTTTATCAAATTTTTTAAATGATAGTCTAGGCTTACAATAATCCAACGTCTCCCCTACTGACTTTTGAGAACTAGTTCTTATCCACTGTCACTGCCCACCATCTCCATACCCTCTGCTCATGCTGTCCTTTACTAGAAGAGACTTCCTTATCTAATTACATCCTTACATTCTTGTCTCTGACCTTCCACACAAGCTGTTGATGCTTCCTCCTGCTTCACCTAGCTACTTTCACTTTTTTTTCTTTTCTTTCAGGTGTCAAATTAAAATTACATTGCCCATGAATCAGGATTCTAGAAAACTTGTTATTTATGTGCCACCGAATCGACTACAACCCACAGCGACCCTACAAACAACAGCTCTGAACCTTGCCCTATCCTAAACCAACTTCACCATCTCTCACACACCTGATCCCACTGCCACAGTCACTGTGTCAAGACATCTTATTCAGGGTCTTCCGCTTCTGCACTTACCCTCTACCCTACAAAGTATGCTGGCCTTCTCCAAGGACTAGCCTCTCCTGGCAACATGCCAAAATATGTGGGACAGAGCTTCAAGATCCTTGCCTTCAAGGACAGACATATCTATTCCCTGGGCAGTCCATCGCCTGTTCAATACTCTTCTCCAGCACCATAACTCAAAGGCTTCAATAATTCTTCTGTCATCCTGATTCACTGTCCAGCTCTCCGAGGCATAGGAAGTAACTGAGAAAACTATGGCCCTGATCAGGTGCACCTTTGTCTCTAGACTGACATCCTAGAAAACTTGCTAACAACCTTCAAAATGTAGATGAGACAACCTTGCTTGAAGAGGAAACAAAAAAACTTAGGGGGGGGGAAGACTTGAAGCACTTATTTAAAGCTTCAAGACTTTGGTGTAGATTGCACCTCAACATAAATTATACAAAAACCCTCACAACTGGACCAATAAGCAAAATGAAGATAAAGTGAGAAAAGGCTGAAGTTGTCCAAGATCTCATTTAACTTAGATCCACCATCACCACTCATGGAAGCAGCAGCAAAGAAATAACATGACATGTTGCACCGGGCAATTCTGCTCTCAAGTGCTAAAAAGCAAGGATGTCATTTTGAGGATGTGTCTGACTCAAGCGAAGGTTATTTTCAATTGCCTCATATGGCAATGGACAGTGGACAACGAATAAGGAGGATAGAAGAAGAATTGATGCTTTTGAATTGTGGTGGTAGCGAAGAACATTTACTGCCTATATATATATATATCTATATAGGCTCAATGTCAAGAAGACAAAGATTCTCACCACTGGACCAATTGGCAGCATCAGGATGGATGGTGAAGAGATTGAGATTGTACACAGCTTTAGTTTGCTTGGCTCCGTCGTCAACAGTCTTGGCACCAGCAGCCAGGAAATTAAAAGGCACATTGCCATAGGAAAGTCTGCAGTTAGGGACCTCTCCAAAGTACTGAAGAGCAATGGTGTCTCTCTGGAGACTAAGGTGCGTCTGATACAGGCCATGGTCTTCGCAATCACCTGTTATGCATCAGAGAGTTGGACAATGACCAAGGAGGATAGAAGGAGAATTGATGCCTTTGAGCTGTGGTGCTGGTATTGAGAATACCATGGACTGCTAGGAAAACAAACAGATTTGTCCTGGAAAGGGTTAAACCGGGTGGCTCCTTGGAGGCAAGGATTCTGAGGCTCTGTCTAACATACTTTGGACATGTTGTGAGGAGAGACCGATCCTTGGAGAGGGACATCATGCTTGGGAAGGTGGAGGGACAGCGAGCGCAGAAGGGGAAGGCCCTCTATGAGGTGGATTGATTCAGTGACTGGGATAATTGGGATGGGAGTGTCAGAGACAGTGCGACTAGCACAGGACAGAGCGGAGTTTAGAGCTGTTGTACATAGGGTCGCTATGAGTCGCAAGCGACTCGACGGCACATAACAACAAAACAACAACATATAGACTGCCAAAAGAAAAAATCTAAGTTGGAAGAAGCGCAGGTTTTAGGGCCGTCTAGGCCGATCGATTTCCAACAGCCCTGTCGGGTAACGACTCTACAAACAGCTGGGGACTTCGGATTTCTACTCCGCCCTAGACTTTTGCAAGCCAAGGGCCCCCGAAAGACCCCGCCTCACCTCCTCCGCCTCCTCTTCCCCGGGATCCAGCTGATCCAAGCTCCAGCCCAGAGTCGCTGTCACCTCTTCCAGCTTTCGGTAGCAGCCCTCTACGAACTGGTTCAGCTCCTCCTGCAGTCGCCGCCGCTCCTCCACCGGAGGTGGATGGACCTCCATCGAGCCTGCTACTTCGGTCCAGGGCCCGGAAGTCTAGAGTAGGAATCAGAACAAAAACACGCGCGCGGGCCTCTGGGAGCGGGGGCGGGGCCTCCAGCCACGTAATAAGTAAGAGCAGCCAATAGGGAAGCGGCCCCCAGCCGCAACTTAGGTGCTGTCACTTTGAGATGTCTGACCTAAATGCATTTGCGCCTTGACTTTTCTGACAGTAATTATCCCATCAACTTTTTAAGAAAAGTTATGTTATCAGAAAATCTAAAGAAAATGACTAAGTATTTGAATATCCTTCAAGTTCGTATGTTTTGCGCTCACTTTCCACACAAGGCTCTATTTTTTTTTTAATAATTCAATTTTATTTTTCAAAATAAAAATTACCTTTGTTCGCTTTATGGATGATATACTTCATGTCATTCCACAGCTCATCTAGTTTTAGTTCATTGATATTCAATGCCCCAAACATATTATTCAGATTCATATTAAATTTAAGTTGAGAAGACTCAAGGTTGTATTTTGGTTCTTGTGGACATGTTTTCATTTTCTTCAGCTTCAGTTTGAACTTTCATGTTAGTAACTGATGATCTTTACTACTGCCAGCACTTGATCTGGTTTTAACTGCTGATATTGAGCTTCCTCAATGGTGTAGTCAATCTGATTCCTGTGCATTCCATCAGGTGAGGTTTATATGTAAAGTTGTCTTTCAGGCTTTTTCAAAAAAGATACTTGCAATGAATAAATCATTGAACATTCAAATTTAATCATTTGATCGCTCATTCATTTCTATTATCAAGACCAAACTTGTCTACTACCATTCCTTCCACATTGTTTTTCACTTTTTCATTCCAGTCATCAATAACTAACAATGCATCTTTATTATATGTTTGATAAATTACAAATGATTAGTTGGTAGAGATCTCTAATTTCTACCTCTTTGGTTTTACTTACTGGTTAATTTTTGTAATAGTAACAAGTTATCGTTGCATGTGTATGGATAGTATCTGTGACTTACAACATTGTAGTTTAGGATATATCTTGAAATGGTATTTTTAAACTATGAATGCAACATCATATTCCTCAGCTTTTCATTCAAATCCCCGCAAATTATTCATATGACTGTCAGGTTCAAATTAGTCCAAGAAAGTTCATCTCAGTTATCTAATTACTTTATATCTTAGTTGCTTATACTTGTTTGGTTTTTTAAATAATTTTTTTATTTTTTTGTTTTTTTTAATTATTTTTTATTTTTTGTTACAGAGGTTTTGGATTTCCATTCATTCATTGCCGCAATTTTCTCCCTTCCCACCCCTCCCCAACTGGATAAATTATGTGTATTGAAACAGGTGAGGGAAAGAACAGATTAGAAGTGATATATGATTGAGTATTCTGGTTAGCACAGAAATCCAGAATTAAGGTTGCATAGAGAAGTGTACTCAGGGTGGGGGGAAGGGACGTAGGAATTGTATACTAAACAAGGCTCTATTTTTACTCAACTATTTTTAAGTAAGTTACAAATAACAACTCCCAAAGGTGTGTGCATTCATCTACTAACAACAAGAACATTTTACCACATATTACAATACATAAGCCTATGACAGAGGTTTTATCTTTTCAGTCCATCAACAACAACATAGATGATGGACTGTAAAGATAAAACCTCTGTCATAGGCTTATGTGTTGTAATATGTGGTAAAACGTTCTTGTTGTTAGTAGATGAATGCACATTAATCTAAAGCAGCTTCCTCCATCTTTTTTAAGTAACAATTTGTGAAGAGCATAGAAATTCCTCATTGTGTATTTATCAGATTTTTTTCTCTTATTATTAGATTCCATTTAAGCATTTCAAAGAGCTCTGCATGGTTTAAAATCAAGAAAGGCGTACTTCAAAGCTATATCCTTTCTCCAAACCTAGTCAATATGTATGGTGAGCCAATCAGTAGAGAAGTTGAACTTCATAATAAAGAATGTTGCACCAGGATCAAAGAAAGACTCATAAACAGCTTGCCTTATGGAAACGGCACAAACCTTGTTTGCGGCAAAAGATCACTTGGTATGAATCTGAAAGTTGGACAATGAATAAGGAGGAGGGGAAAAGAATCTGTATCTTTGAGTTGTGGTGTTAGAGTACTGAATATCTCATAGGTTTCTGAAAGAATTTAAAAAGTACATCCATGGTGCTCATTGGAGGAAAGGATAGTGGAACTTCGTCTCACACGTTGTTTGGGGCACATTGTTAAGAGGGGCTAGTCTTTGGAAAAGGACATTATGCTTGGAAAGATATAAGGAAGACCCTAGACGAGATTAATTGACACAGTGACTGTATCAGTGGACTCAAGGATATCAGAGATGATAACGGTGGCACAGGACAGTTCAGGTTTCATATCCCTTGTTCATTGAGTCATTGAGAGTCACAGTCAACTCAACAGGACATAAAATCTGAAATTGATATAATCTGCACTCAAGATGCATCTTATACATTCTTGGTGGGATTGTAAAACGGTACAACCATTCTGGAAGGCAGTTTGGCACTTACTCAAAAAGCTGAACATAGAAATTCCATATGATCCAGCTATCCCACTCCTTGGAATATACCCCGAGAATATGAGCTGAGGCACAAACTGAGATTAGTACACCAGTGTTCATAACAGCATTATTCACCATCGCAAGAACATGGAAACAGCCCAAATGTCCAGCCACAAATGAATGGATTGAGAAATTATGGTATATTCACACAATGGAATACTATGCAGAATGTAGCAACAATGATTTTCTAAATTATTACCTAACTTGGGAGGGGCTGGACAGCATTATGCTGAATGAACTAACCCAATCCCACAAGGATAAATATTGTATAAAACCATTATTACAGAATGAATATAAGGAAACAAGAGGGGTGGGACAGGCTGAAAGTAGAGTGATGTGTTCGTTCAGGGTGAATGGATTGATTAATCATCAGGTTGTACAGTTTGATGGGGGAGGGGGAGGGAAATTGAAAGAATTTATTCAAAATTATATTCAAATTTTGTAAATTAGTAAAGAAAATGATAATAAAAGGAAGAAAATGGGAGAAGTATGGATATTGTACATCATGGGTATTATAATTGCTGGGAGCCGCTTGTTCTACCTAGCTGAAGCCATTTTGTAATTCTCTAAGAACATGTTTGGACATGTTGCCCCTCCTTGGGAGAAGAGGTTTCAGTTTACCCCACCCTGGGAGGATAGGTTTTGGTTTACTGGGAATGCCCTGCTAAGTTTCTGTTTACCAGATAATTTCAGCTTACCAGAAACGACATGTTATTCTCCCCCATTGCGTACTTCTCCTCCCCCATTGTGCTTCTGTATATAAGCTGTGAGTGCTTTCAATAAAATGGAGACTTGATCGGAAATTCGACTTGTCTTCCTGCTTCTGTGCCTCCTGTCCCCCCTCCCCCCCATTCTCATCCTTCCCCTCCTAGGGTCACCGTTGAAGATCCCTGCAGGCCGGGGCATAATATTAATGTTATAAAACAAAATATGCCTGTATGATTGGATAAAAAATGTTTTCTAAATGTTTTTCAAATAACAATAAAAAAGAAATAATATCTGGTAAAAAATTTTAACATTTTTATTTTAAAAAGATGCATTCATAATAATTGGTGACTGGAATGTAAAAATTGGAAACAAAATTTGAAAATACAGACGTGGTGATAGAAATTAGGTTGGAGATCAAATGATAGAATTTTGTACAATGAATTATTTATTCTTTATAAATACTTTAGAAAACCCCACAAACAGTGACTGTACAAATGGACTACATAAGAATCAAATGGCCTAGATAAAATCAATGGAGACGTTCAATAGTAATTGGTCAAAATAAGGCTGGGGCTTAGCGTGGGAACTATAATTAATAACTCATGTACAAGTTCAAATTGAAGTTGAAGAATATTAAAGCAAGGGTCCAAGAACCAAATCATAGCCTTGTATCTATCCCACTGGACCTTAAAAAACATCTCCAGAATATGTTTTACTAATAAAGGAAAGATGAATTGTGGAATGAAATCAAGGATATCATCAATAAAGAAAGTTTTTATTTCATCAAAAAGACAGGAAAGAAAGAAAAGACAAAAATCAGAAGAAACTCTGGGAAGTGCACTGGAATGTTGTTGTTATTGTTGTTGTTGTTATGTGCCATCGAGTCGTTTGCGATTCATAGCGACCCTATTGTACAACAGCCCTAAACCGTG